TTTTTAAATTCAAAACCTTCAAAAATACAATTTATGTGTCACCATTAAAAAGAAAACTTGGATTGTGTATTTTGTTGATGTTATTTGTTAAAGCTATTATGTATTATGCTGGTTACCATCAGAAGGAGAAAATAGAATGTTGTGAATCTCTGTAAGTTATACTTATTTCAATAATTGGCATGGCAATAGAGCAGTTGAAGAATTTTCTCCATTTGATGAAAGTTGGCAATTAGCATATTTTCCACAGCAAGGGACCCTTTAATATTGCTGGTCTTCTCAGTGTGAAAAATTCACACATCACATAATCCCTCTATTAAATAGCTTCCTCTTAGGTAGGGAAGTCCCCTGTGAAGCAGCACCTGTCATGTTAATTTTATACTTATTTTTAGAGAAATATGAATTAACATTTTTCTTAATTTTGGTTCTTTTAGGGAATGAAGTTTTAAATTTGCATGATTTTAATCTTTTTTTTTTTAGAAGAAAGGGAAATAATAAAGCAACTTTTGACATAGGTACTTTTGTACCTATTGATAGTCTGACCCTCTGTCTTTGAAGTGCATGCATAGAATTTCAGAAGAAATTTAAATGTTGTCTTCATTTTTGTATGCCTATCTTCTTTGAAAGATCTTTAATGCTCCAGAGTGCTCTTCACACAATGACAATAAAGAGTGGTAAATACCACCAGGTATTGGAGTAAATAAATGCTCAGGACCCAACTTACATTTTCTAAAACTCTTGCCCCCACCACTTTCTTGGTCTTGAGTAGGAATCTAGGCAACTGATAAGGATATTTTGCCTGGAATATTTTCTAGTAGCAAGTGATCAGGTGGACAGCCCTTTTTTAACAGCAGTTTTTTCAGGGAGGATAATGGCAGCTAATGCTGCCAGATGGCAAAGGGATCCTCAGATCAGAGATCTTAGGGTTAAGAACAGGAAGGGGTTAGAGACCATTTAGTCAAAAGCAGTCATTTTATAGAAGAGAAAACTGAAACTCTGGAAGTTGAATGGACTCACTCAAGGTTAGTAGAAACTAACAACTTTCTACCTGGTATCTGTCCCCTCCTCTTCCTTACGAACAAATCCTTGATTTTGTTTAGAGTGGCAATGTTCCCAGAACAAAATAATCACCTCCCCAGCCTTCCTTGGAGCTAGGGGTGCATATTACCCATTTCTCACAAAGGTGTTAGTGGAGGTCACTGGATGGGGTTGGGGGAAGCTTTCTAAGGGGTAACAAATGCCTTGTGTGCTCTTTTGTCTCTCTCCCTCCTGCTTGTAATGCAGACATAAGATTTGTTGTTCAGCTCGAACACTGTGGTTTTTAATCAGGTGCCAGAATCCATTCTGGGTGTGAAAAAATGTTCACATTTAGAGCAATGTCTCTTTCTGGTAATCCATCAAGTGTTGCTAACAGTAGGCAAGGACCCATTTATGGATGCTACACACCTTAATTGAATTCTACTAGTTTTCCTGTGGATGCAAAGAGTATACACGAAGTTCTACAGAACTTAAGAGGGACAAGAAGCTTCCAGCTGTATATCCAAGAAGGATTATGATTGTGTCTTGCCTCCTACAGAGCCCTAACTGTGAACATCAGCATGTTAACTTTTGCTGCTTGTTCTAAGAGGTTTTCAGCACCAGCTCGTAAAGGAAAGTAACACACTGAAGAAGCAAAGTTCTGGTAGAACAACAGTTACAGAGCAACACTGTTGGAGCTTTACGAAGAGGTGTGTTGAAAAAAGAAATGTGTATACTTCTGGATTTCTGGACCAGAGTGGAGACGTTAGAAAATGAGAAAAAGAAGAGGCAAAGAAGAAATATCCCCATGTCTCTTTAAGCCTGCAAAACTCTTATACACTTACCTGTAAAATAGGTCATTTCGACACACCTGCCCACTGTTGCTGAGTGCAACGCAGACTCTGCCAACTTGCTTAAGGAAAGTGGTTTCACAAACCTTGTAGTAGATCTTATTCGTGTCTAATCTAATTATTGCTGTCAGCGTTTTTCTTTTCTTTTTAAAGAAAAAAAATCAAGCCTTTAATCGCAAAGACTGCCTAGAGCAGAGTGATAGACTGGGACTGACTTTGTTCAGCCAAGTTTTCTTTTGAAGAGAAGCAAAGATATGGTACGGTCTGAGGCCATTTCGGCTGCAGCCTCCTAGGGAAGCTGCTGTTATAAAAAGAAGTACAGAAATATAAGAAGCATGCACTGAACGCTTTAACTCAACCAACGAAACAAATAATTTAAAAAGTGGGCTTGTGGTAACTAAGGGTGAGAGTGTCCAGGAACCTGGCTGACAATTTTTTTTCCTTTTCTTTCCTCTTCTTCTTCTTTCTTCTTTTTATTCTTTTTTCTTTTCTTTTCTTTTTTGTTATTGTTAAGGGAAAGCTGAGTATCAAAAGGATATGGAGACACAATTGGCCTTACACACTTAAGTGTTTAAAATACAGTCCCTGTATTTGTTCTCATCTCAGAAGCGCGGGGCTTGGTCTTTATTACCTATTGGATTTCAGGAAGGCTGACTTGAGATGCGCCGTTGCCATTTCCTGGCCTTCACTTATGTATTTATTTATTTTCCGGCGCTGGCAGTCAGCCCCTTTGTTGCGCCTCCTCTGCATTTATTTCTGCCTGCCCTCGCACCTCCAGACAGTGCGATGGGGCTTTTTTCCAGATCTTCGCGCCGAGAGCCCGGGACGGCCAACCTCCAGGCATGCGATGAAGGCCGGGGAGTGTCGACCTGGGGCCGCGCTGGGCACCCGCTTTGTGTGCGCGTTTATTTGTCTCCACTGCGGTCCGACCGCGGCCGCGACCCCCGAGGAGGCGGGGCCTCCGCGCGCCCGGCTCCGCCTGGTGAGGGTTTCACGGCCGCCACCGCTGCCGCCGCCCTCGTTTGTTCCGTTAGATCGCGCAGCCCCGATCGGTGCACCCAGATCCTAGCAAGCCGGGCGAGACTGCCCAGGAGCCCTCGATGGCTTTCATTCCACCCAAGCCCGCTTCTTACTTTCCCCGGCGCTTTCTCACTTTTCCCGGTTAACAGCTTATGGGCGGGGAGCTGGGCAAAACTCAGACTAAAAACAGAAAAAGAGAAAAGACAATTTCGATATACCCGCGTCGGTCCTCCAGAGTTTGTGAAGGGGCGTAAACATGTCGGAGTCTGGGGAGATGAGTGAATTTGGCTACATCATGGAATTGCTAGCTAAAGGCAAGGTAAGTGATGGGACGCGGGGCGCCGCGGCCTGGGCCGCGGACTCCGGCACTACCTGGCCTGCCACTGTGGGCGTCCGTGTTCATTCCAGCGCCTGGGAAGGGCGGGAGGCTGGAATCCAGGGGCTGCGCTCGCAGCCCGGGTGTCCCAGCAGCTGCGGAATGCAAAGTAGCCGCCTTTTCTTTATTGCGTGGCATCTCTGAAATAAGCCAAGAGGGGACTTTCGGGCGCTTTGGGGGCCAGCTGGGCAGCAGTAGGGGCTCCCGGACGCCGAAGGGCGAGAGCCCAGCGTCAGAAGATGGAAAGGAGGGCGGGGCGTTGGCCAAGGGGGCGCTCCCCCACGCAACCAGGGCTCCCCAAGCGTGGTGACTTCGAGTGGGTGACCTCGCCTGTCTGGGCGCGGAGCGTGGAGGGAGGGTCCGCCCAGCGAGTGAATAGGCTCGGAGTGTGGGATCGGGGTCAGCCCGCAGTCAGAGCGTGTGGCCGGTAAATAGGGACAGCACCTTCGTTCGCCCTGCCCTGGCCTTTTCAGGCCTCCTTCCAGGTCGTTAGCTTCTGCTGCTCCAGGCCGGGAATATTCAAAGCAGCCTTCTTTTGGTAGGGAGGGGAAGATGCTGGAGGAGCGGGATTTCAGCCCCTCACCTGTCCTGGAGCCTTTAGGAACCCAGGCTGGCGCCGTCGGTGGCGCCCGCGACCACGCCCTCAGCCGGCGGGGTGGTGCCGGGCCTGAGCCCGTGCGGGAGGATGGGCTCCGCGCTGCGTCCCAGAAATTGCCGGCAGAAGCTCCTAAGTGGTTTGCAGGCGGAACGTGTCGGGAAATACGGAGGCTGCACAGAGCACTGCCCTCCGGGACTCGCAGGCGGAGAGAAGGCGGGAAAGGGCGTCAGCGTTTGCTCTCTGCGCCTGGAGCTTCGAGAAGAGGTGATGGCACAAAGGAGCAATCGACTCCCTGCGCACGGTTAACAGAAAGGAGGATGATTCTGTAGCTCTGATGTGAGCACCTGAAACCCTGCAGTCCCACACCCCACTAACTCCAACGCCGCCTATATAGCATATGGAGTAGTTTTAGCTTCATGCCGGACAGTCCTACGGCCCCAGGGCTGGTGAGCTGGTTTAATGCACTCTCAGCCTAAAAAGTCCCAAATGAACCCTACGCCTCTCTGAATTCTCTTGTTCTACAGGCACTGAATACGTTCATCAGAAACAGAATATTCATTAACATTTCGAAAGTGGAGCTGTGTCTTGGGCCTCCCCTACCATTTACAACCCCGGGTCAGAAGTACCAATGGAGAACCCTCGTTCCACTTTTCTTCCAAGCCCAGGCTCCGTCCTGTACCTCAAGGGGCATTCAGCACACACTGACCAGTGTATCCGAGCTCTTTGTCGCCCCAGCAGCAGCCCCTTGACCACCCTTCGGGCCTAGGGTGCATATTGCGGCCCACCCCTCCCTCTCACCGTGGGGAGAGAAATCCCCGAGAAAGAGCTGGCTCTGAGCAAAGAGGCAGGCAGCCAGAGGAGGGCCAGAACCAGGGCCTCTAAAGAGCGAGAGGTGCAGCAGGGCCCCGACTGCCCAGGTCTAGGAGAATGCCTAACAGGGACATAGATTTGGGAATGATGAGGGGCTGGGGGGCAGGGAGGAAAAATGCCTTTGGTTGAACAAAATAAATGGACTACTCTTGATAGGGTGGAGAATAAGATGATAGGTGAATTTTGTCCTATGGTGCTCAGACATTCTTCAAAGTAAGCCAGAATTGTATTAGTTGGCTATGCTTTCCTTCAATGACAGACAAATCCTGAAATTCTGAGAGAATAATTTCGGGGTGGGACCCAGGGATTTGCATGTTAAGAACAGCCCAGGTGACCATGAAGCCGACTGATGGATGTCCCATGAACACGAAATGGGGAAGTAGGGCAGAACCATTAAAACTGCTTATAATCAAGTCAGGTAAACAAAAACAAAACCCTCTCAGAATAGCAATGGGTTCATCACAGTATGTTCACTATAATGAAAAACACTAACTTTCTGGCTTCATTCACTGGATTTCTCTGCTCTCTCTCTCTGCCTCTGTTTTCACTAGGCTTCAGCAATGGGCCTGCAGCAAACACATGAGCATTCCAGGTTGACTTCTAAAGGTGGAAAGGCCCAGCGGGTGTCCCTTTGAAATCTCTGAGGTTTGAAAGCAGTCTCTCCCAAGAAGAACTTAGGACAGTTCCTCTGTCTGTTTTGTGGGGGTTGGAGGGGGAGAGTTGTTCAGGAGTAGCCAGCTTATTTCCTACCCATGCTCCTCAGGCTCAAATCCTGCCCCACCCTGCAGCCCCAGTCCTAGCCCATTTAAGACCCCTGTTTTGTGTGTGGTTATACAGGATTTGAACACTGAATATTAACCATGGAATAGCAGACCGTTAAGACTGACTTGCTTTATTTTCCTCTGCGGAGTTAGGTTCCACTTTGCAGTTGGGGTTTGTAATGTAACGAATAATGGGAAACTGGTCTAGTTATGGGAGTTAAAGGAGAGCAGAGGCCTGTAGTTGGCCTGCCCCCCCCCCCGCCCCACCATCCCTCAAAGTTGAGACCACTGAGTTGACCATCCTCTTAATTTCTCTCACTTTTCCCCCAGATTTGTTTCATCCTGTACTGGACTTCTCAAACTGTACATAATTAAAAATACATAGCTTTACATTTTTACAAACTTAATACCTGAATATATGCTTGTTGTCAAATACCCAAACTTCACAGAAAGTTTTACAGAGTAAAAAGTGGAAGTTCATGCCCACATCCAATCTCATTCCTTCCCCAGTGGCAGCAGTTTGTGTGTCTATTTCAAATTAAATTAGCATACCATATGTTCTCTGAAATGTGGGAAGTGAGCCTTTTTTCTTAGGGTAACCTAAAACCTACAGGACAAACTGGATCAGCTTATTTACTCTATTGTGATGGCTACGTTAATATTTAAAGTACATAGTGATATGTGCCATTGTGACCTTTCTGCTCATCAAACAATACTGCATAAGTGTAGTTAATACTTACGATCATTCTCAAGAGGCTTAAAAATGTAAATGTATTTCCTTATATTTCACTAACAGTGAAACTTTTACCATTTCTGAAAGCTGTCTTTCTGTTTATTTTGCAGCTAATCTCTTTGGATTAAAAGAGGTTTCCAAATCTGTGGTCAATATCTAAGGTTACTCAAAGCAGTATTTTTAAACTGTTTTGGTCTCTTGAAAGATTGGTCTCACTAATTTTTTTATCACCATCATACACTCTTCTGGAATCATATAATGAAGATTTGATGACAAGGAATATAGAATTCAAATTTTAGTATATCTGTTTGTATTTTGTGTATTTAGCATATTTACATTTATGTGTAAACAGATGGTACATTCGGTTCCCATAATTTAATTATTACTGTTCAAGCATATCTAAGGAGTAAAATAGTTTCAGCAAAATAAGAGAGGCTTTGTAAATCTTATATTTAATTTCGATAGGGAAATAGGCAATGATACCATTACTTGGTGAATTATTATTTTAACTTTGAACATCTTTGAGGCACAAAAAATTCAAGAATTTTTACAAATACAAACTTTAAAAAAAGAAGACACACTCTGAAGGAATTAGGCTTGGAAAGTCCTCAAATCTAGACTAATAAAAGGTCGTAAATATCTCCTGGGACCAAAACAAAAATACCACCAAATGATCTGTTTCAGAAGGATGAATAGATAGTTGCTCACACAACTAAAATCTAAACCAGGGTGATAGTGGTAAGGTTGTGCCCACTGTGTAAGTATTTTTATTTATTTATTTATTTTTGAGAGACAGTTTCACTCTGTTGCCCAGGCTGGCATGCAGTGGTGCAATCTCGGGCTCACTGCAACCTTCACTTCTAGGTTGAAGCAATTCTCCTGCCTCAGCCTCCCTAGTAGCTGGGACTACAGGCACACGCCACCATGCCCAGCTAATTTTTTGTATTATTAGTAGAGACAGGGTTTCGCCATGTTGGCCAGGCTGGTCTCGAGCTCTGACCTCAAGTGATCTTAGCTTCCCAAAGTGCTGGGATTACAGGGGTGAGCCAATGCGTCAGGCTTACAAAGTATTTTTTAAAGGTTTTTAAAATATATATATTGAAATTGGGCAAAATGTATGTGCTGTGGAGAGTAGGGAAGGCAGGCAGAAGATTTAGATTTTTACAATATTATTTGAAAAGAGCTAATTTCATAAATATAATTTTCCTCTTTTTTTTTTTTTACTATATTGCGCTAAAGATAATTTGGAAAAAAGGTGTCTCCTAAACTACTTTGTAAAAGGATGTTTAAATCCGATTTTTAGTGAAATCGTAAATTCTGTGTTGTATACTTACCTGTGGGCAGTGCAATAAGGATGCTGGACTGAGACCCAGGTTTGAATCTTGGCTTTTTACTATATAGCCATGTAATCTTAAGCATATTACTTAATCTATGGGTGGAGGTGGAGAGGAATTTTACTTGTTACATGTCTTCTCTGAAAAGAATTATACCTATTTCACAGGGTTACTACAAGAGTTAAATGAATATTGTATGCAAGTTTCCTAATACCGTTATTGACACATCATAGGCCCTCAACAAATGAAAGCTATTACTTCTAGCTTTTATGACAACAGGGTTGGGCCTTGAGACACCTTATATCCACACTGTGATCATTAAGAAGTAGAGGTAGGGTTGACAGAAAAAATACAGGATGTGTAGAGTTGAATTTGAATTTAAGATACTTTTTTTTTTTTTTAGAATATGTGCAATGTGATATTTGGAACATATACTAAAAAATTATGTATCTGAAATTCCAATTTAACTGGGTGTATTATGTTCTTATTTACTAAATCTAGTAACCCTGAGGGGAAGAATAATGAGATGTGGTCAACAGAGAGGGGCCTGCTAGATTGCCTCAAAATACTACCAATTTTGTTTACCTCAAGTTGGCCAAAAAACGTCTTTGCCCACTAGTTATTCAGCCAATACACTCATCATTAATGGAAAAGAGTCTGTGAGAGCAGCACTGGGTTCCTCTCATCTTCCTAATTGCAAATTGTTGCTCTGGTGCTACTGTTTAGTAGATAAACGCTTACTAGATTTTGTCTTAAATAAAAGTTTAAATGGTCGAGAAGACAAAACATCAGACATCAGTGTACAAAGAGTAGGTAGTTGTGTTAAACTGAGTGCTGAAAGAGTTCAGAATAAAGGGAGATAATCAATGAAATCAAAACTAATAAAGGAGGCTCCAGAAGTGCAACTTGAAAGATGAGGAGGATTTGGCCAGGTAGTGGAAATCTGAACTCGCTGGCTCTCTGGACTCCTCTCCCCTGACTTTGTTCCCATAGAAACACTTTATGACTGGTAAGCTTGGCCTGTCAGAAGCTTGAGTCAATAATTGATAGACAATGCCATTCATTATCCCTTCACTGGTAACCTCCTGATACCCAGTAGTACAGGTGGTCTGTGTGCCAATCTACTCTAAAACCCTGTAATTTACTTTATTTCCATACTTCTTATTTTCTATACGTCCAGGGTCTCTCTTGATTCTATATCTGTGGCTGCTTAATGATTAGGGTTTCCCAAAAGGGGACAGGGTTTAGGGAATATATGGCCATATTACCTTGTTTCTATTTCTTGTTTAGTATATACTAATAGAATGGTGATACCCTGCCTGTCTGATCTCAGATCAAACCAATTAATATGCACCATGGTCATTAGGTCCTGACCCAGCCAGAAATTTAATCTCTTGTTGGGTATTAGGAATCAATATGGAAAGAGACCAAGTCAGCTTATGGAGTAGTATATGGTTTATAGGGTAAGGGGTTTATATTTTAAATATCAAGCAATGAACATTGATTGAGGCTCTGTTTTATCAAAGACTGAATTGTGTGTGTTTGGAGAGGGGAGACTGTTGACCTTTTGGACTTCATGAAGTAGATGGATGTGAGACAGCTCATGCCCCTGTGATAGAAGAGCAATTAAGTGATACCAGAAGTGGAAAATAAGATATCACAATGAAGGCAAGAGTATTGAAGGTCTGTGAACTTAGGGGGATAAGAATGGAATAGGTTTTCTTGTTTTGCATTTTTAACCCAGATTTTAAAATAAACTATTGAAAAAGGAGGTGCTAGGATACTCCAAACTGGGGAGGAGTAGGCACCAAGGGATAGCATATACAATGGAAAATAGGGGAATAATGATTTTTTTAAAGTTCAGATATTTCATGCCATTCCTGCTAAAAAGCCTTCCAAAGCTGCTCAACATCTACAAAAGCATAGAGGCCTTCCATACTTTACCAGACTTACTTTGTCACCACAAGTTTATCACCCTTTCTCTAACTCCTGCTCCCCAACTCATGCGCATGCACACACACACATACACACACACACACTCTCAAATACACGGGTTCACACACCCCCTCGCCCCATTATGTTCCAATACCAAGCTGCCTGTGGTCCAGGACTGTAGCTTATTCTGCTCCTTGTGCAAATAGAGGCATGAGGACAGGGTTACACATATGGAACGTCATCTGTAAATACTGAATTGATAGGCTGCTAGGCATGTGGAGAGGGGGCTTAGAGTGAGCATGGGAATCGGTTGTGAGGATGAGAAAGAACAGAATCTGACAACAACCTATGATTTAAGGCTGACCAGAGATAGGGAAGAAGAAAGGAAGATAAAAAGCAAGCAAACAAAACCCACCAGGATTTTAACTTGAGGAACTGGGAAGGGTCTTGGTATCCTGGGAAGCTGGGATGTTTGGATGTTGCAACAGAGAAGTTGATGACTTGACACAGAGCACGGCAGCCCAGGGAGACAGAAATGATCAGGGAACTGGGAAAGCAGTGGTTTAAAATGGCAGTTTTCGTATTTGTCTTCTTCCCCCCACCTTTTGTTTTTAAAAGTGTATGGATAGAACGGATTAACATTAAAAAGTTTTAGAAGTATAACATATACATATAAGATGCAAAGATAATACATGTGAGTGAAGAGTAAGTCTTGTATACCTGACTCTATCCCTTACTTCTCCACAATGGTTATCATTTTTTGTGCTTTATTCCAGATGCTTCTTTTTGTTTGCCTATAATTTTAGTTTGCCTCGTCTTTTGGCCAGAGTGGCAGCATATAGAATCCATATGGTTTTGTACTTTTTTTTTTTTTTTTGAGACAGAGTCGCGCTCTGTCGCCAAGGCTGGAGTGCAGTGGCACAATCTTGGCTCACTGCAACCTCTGCCTCCCGGTTTGAAGTGATTCTTCTGCCTCAGCCTCCTGAGTAGCTGGGATTACAGGTGTGTGCCACCACGCCAGGCTAATTTTTGTATTTTTAGTAGAGAAGGGGTTTCTCCATGTTGGCCAGGCTGGTCTCGAACTCCCAACCTCAGGTGATCCACCCGCCTCAGCCTCCCAAAGTGCTGGGATTACAGGTGTGGACCACCACGCCCATCATACATTAGAAATCCTTTGTCATCAGTACATTGATTTTAACTGCTGCACAGTATTCTGTGGTATGAATGTACATTATGGATGATGTTTAGTTATAAATAAGGTCTCAATAAGCTCTTTGCACATGCTTTTGTGCACATATGCAAGTATTACAGTAGAAACATTCTTAGATGTGGAATTGCTTAGTCAAAAGTTACAAATACTTAAAATTTTTGATAGGATTTGTAAAATGTCCCTTCAGATAAGCTGTACCAACATATGCTACCACAAAAAGGTTTGAGCAAAATAAGAGAGGCTTTGTAAATCTTATATTTAATTTTGATAGAGAAATACACAATGATACCGTTAACTTGGTGAATTATTTTAACTTTGAACATCTTTGAGGCACAAAAATATTCAAAAAATTAACAAACACAAAATTTACTTTAAAACAAGAAGACGCTTATACTTTGAAAGAATTAGACTTAGAAAGTCCTCAAATCTACACTAATATAAGGTCTTAAACATCTCATGGGACCAAAACAAAAATACCACCAAATGATCTGTTTCAGAAGGATAAATAGATAGTTGCTCACACAACTAAAACCTATACTGGGGTGATAATGGTAAGGTTGTGCCCACTGCCTAAGTATTTTTTATTTTTATTTTTTTTGAGACACAGTTTTGCCAAGTGTATTAACATCATGTTTGAATTTTGTGGATCAAGTAGAAAATGATAGCTCAGTGAAGTCTGATTTGCAAAAATGGAAGGCCATAGCAATGTATTTTCACCAAAATATGTCTATACAGGTTTTATCTTTAATTCCTGTTAATGGAGCCTACTAATCACTTTTACTGTGTCAACTAATAAGTTTTGGATCAAAGCAGGTGTGCTGATGTGAAATTACAGCCCGAGGGGAATTATTTCGCTCAAAGGCCAGTGTGAGAAAGACTTATAATGCTTTCTAACGATTGAGCCTTTAAAAATATATATAGGCACCTAATTCACGCAGGCATTTGTTATTCTCCTCCTGATTAGCACTTTTCAGAACCTGTGGGAAGGAAGCCTTCTCAAGTCTAGCACCTGCAGCCACGGAACAGGCATTAATCCGGATCAGAACAGCCCAGGCATTATTACCTGGCAAAGCTTTCATCCTCTGTTCACCTCATCTGTAAATGGAGGGTGTTCCATTAGAGAAAATTGCTACAGTCTCTCAATGTTCTTAATTCTACACTCCTTATTCAGATGCCGGATGGAGACAAGGCTACCGCTGCAGACAGGGCTGTGGGAAGACGGCGGAACTTGCCACAGCGAGAGA